CTTATTAAGGTCACTATTAAGAATATCTGCGCTGACTCTAGGAATATCAACGGTTACGTAAAGAGAGGTGTCATCAGCGAATAACTTTATTTTAGCTTGTATATCTTTAACAATGTCATTTATATATATCAAAAATAAAAGAGGTCCAAGAATTGAGCCCTGTGGAACACCAGCCTTAACATTTAACCAATTTGAATTTTTACCATTGATGACAACTCTCTGCTTTCGATCGGAAAGATAATTTTCAAACCAAACTAATAGCGAATTTCGAATCCCATAGCTGGATAATTTACAAAGTAGGCCTTTATGCCAAACTCGATCGAAAGCTTTGCTAATATCACAGAAGACCATACGTATTTCCTTACCATTGTCTAAGGCTAAATATATATCATGAATGATCGCAAGAAGTTGATTTGATGGTGAGTCACCGTGCCTAAACCCAGACTGATGGGGGATAGGAGGGAGTGAGTGTGCAAAAAAATGTAGACATATTTGAAGACACATTTTTCCATTAATAACGATCGATAGCAGTGATATAGGTCTTTAATTAGTTAATATAGACTTGTCATCTTTTTTATGCACAGGGGTGACGTTAGCAAGCTTCCATTCAGATGGGAATAACCCAGATCTAATTGACGTGTTAAAGAGATTTCTTAAGGGGACACATATGATATTTACTGATTCTTTAAGAAGACGAGGATTTACCAGGTCAGGACCAATGGCCTTAGAACAGTCAGTGGTAAGAATAGCATCTCTGACATCATAAGCTGTGATGTTAATATCAGATAAGGAATTAATACATTCGTCGTTAATGTTAGGGAGATTTACATTGGAATCATCAACTGTAGACTGGGCACAAAAGAAGTCAAATTAAGAAGTCAAGTCAAGAAGTTAAATAAGCAAGCTTTCTCAAAGTCATCTGAGACAGTGCTGTTGTTAAGAAGCAATGGTGGTCAACAAAATTTACCAGAGTTAGGTAATAGTTGCTTTACAGTTTTCCACCATTGTTGAGCACTAATGTTGGAAGGTTTGCGAAGTTCGCTACATAAATTAGAAAAACATGTTACTTTGGCGTGCTTGATTGTGTTAACACATTTGTTACGAAGTCGACGAAACTTTGCCCAATGAGCTTCAGTAAGGGTACGCTTGGCTTTTATATGAGCGCGCTTACGTTTACGAATTAATCTCCTTATTTCGTTTGATAGCCAAGGGGGTTCATTAGATCTGATGGTTATTTATTTTATTCGAAGATTTAGCAATAGTAAGTAAAATATCTAAGAACTTTTTGACAGCATCATTAATATCATCAAAATCACTCAATAAATTCCAGTTAACTGAGCTGAGTTTTTCCCTAAATAATTCGTGATTTCCTAGGTCAAAAAGCCAAACGTTTCGCTTAAACACCTGCTGCACTGGCTTTGAAATATTAAAAAGAACAGTAAATTGGACAATGGTATCTAACCGGTTGATCAAGGAAGCTTTCTCCAACATAACAGTTATTAATAAGGTTATTACTACTAGTACATACTATATCTAACAATGACTCCGAGGCTTCTGTATAAAAAGTTGGTGATTCAACAAGCTGAGTTAGATTAAAGGAAGCAAGTATATCGTGTAAGTGGGAAGAATGGTGGTCTACTAGGGCATTTGCATTGAAGTCTCCGGTTATCACAATATTAGAGATGCCTGTATTATACGCTTTTTCTATAGAATGCGAGATATGAGACCATATAATGACAGGCGAGTTTGGAGGCCGATAAAAAGTACTATATAATATTTTCTCTGAACCAAGTACAATTTCTAACCAGACACATTCAATGGTAGCTATCTCTATAATTATCTGATCTTCTTTTTGCAGGAATATTATATTTTACATAAACCGATATACCGCCGCCCATTCGATCAGGTCTACAGTAGCAGAATGGGTCAGAATATACAGGCAGGTTAAGGGCAGATGAGATATCATATAAATTTAACCAAGTATCAGTAAAGGATAAAATTGTTATATTACTTAACTCGGTGTAAAGAATATCAAGTTTTTGTTTGAGACTTTGAACATTAAGATGGACAAATGAAAAATTACTGACCGCATCGAGCAGGCCACTAATATTCGAAAATATAGATGAGGAAGATAAGGAAGATGAGCTAGAAGACATGGGACCAGGATTCAGCTCTATATCTCCAGATAACAACAGATGCCAATAGTCCAAAGCACGACGTAGAGATATAGATAATTTATCAGTAGCGGACATGATAGAAGAGAAGATGAATTTAGCACTTATGTAATGAATATCAGGGTTATATTTGAAACTTTTGACGCTAAGATGGACAAAAGAATGCCTATCGTTAAAGAAATGGATACTTGAAGAGAAAGTAGAAGCAATTGATTGAATGGTAGAAGTAGAAAAGTGCTGTGAATGTAACTCAATGTCACCTGACTAATACCAGCTGATCAATGCATAATGTATTGATATAAAAGTAAGTAATTCTGCTAAAAAGGATGCGAAGTGGTAACATGAACTGCTACGGAACGACTCTCTGAGTGATGTACTAATATTATGTAAATAAGACGTAAAAACATATAACAAAAGTAAGAGTAATGCCATACATAACATGTCGGGAACGGTCACGTAATGAGCGAAATTTGCAGACTGTATAAAGTTGCTGAAGACACCAATTCGAACACGATAGAGTGAAACATCAACAGGCATTATGTAATGCCAGACTGGGCAAG